TTTTTTTTTCACTAGAATTCACTCGTTTTCTCTTTTTACATTCATCCGGCCCTTGGTTACCTGAAATAAAAGCAACTAAATCCGATTACTTCATGTAAAACCGTGCCTGATGGTGTGATAAATCCATTTGCTCGATCAAAAAAAGAAATATTTCCTATAATTCTGATAATTTTAACGGAACGGTTCTAATCCCAATGATAACGATTTCACGGTTTCTACTTTATCATTAATATTTTTCAATTCAGCCCACCGTCACACACATCGAACATAAGAGTCGCTATATATGTAATTACTGTTATAAGTTCTGCGACAGCCGCATCTGAAATCATAATCTTTGAAAAATGTATCTTCAGTTTGAAAATAAACTCGAAGCCGATCATTACAGTGTTAATTTTAGCCAGTAATGATGTTGTTACCTATTGTCCTCTTCATCGTGATAACAAAGAAGCGAATATACCAGTATCATCAAAGGACGAATGAGTTTTAACATGCAAATGTAAGGCACGGTCCATTTACAATTAAAAAAAAAACAATTTTGTCATGTAAACACCAACGCCGCGAAAACCGAATTCAGTTTATTTTTCGCCCCCTTTAATTCATTTCTTTGACCTTGGAAAATAAATGAAATGTAAATATGTTCAAATATATTCAGCAAAAGCTAAGCTACAGTATTTGCAATCCAATTAAAAATACAGGCATTTTCACAGCAGTTGAAACAAGATTTTGCGCTCGTCCTTCCAACTAATGACGTCAAAGGTTGAGCTCACCACACACAGTCCGTGAAGTGATATTGACTCTGTGGCAACGAACTAGAATGTTAAAGAAAGAAACAAAAATCCCTTGAATGTTCTGGAGTGGTTGATGGTCCAGTGTTCTTTTAAACAACATTTTAGCCTTGTTTCTTCGCTGTCTGAGTTCTTTTGAAATCCAAACAATTACCTTTCGGATTGTAAACAATTTCCTAAAATAGAGGCAAGATCGTATTAGAATTCAAAAACGCTATTCTTTACTATTGACAGCCTTCAGTTTCGTACAATAGAAATAAAAGAGATCTCCTAAGACCATCAGTAAATCCCTTATTCCCCGAGCCGGAAAAAAACAACCGATTGACGTCATAGCCAGGTTGATTGACATGATTACAGACGCGATTGGGAAAATAAACCCATTATGTGTTCTTTCGCTCGTGACCCAAACATCACTAAACTATCACAAACCGTCAAGGTAAGATCGATCTGTTGGTCGTTATCGTAGCGAACTAGACCAGTTTCACAAGGTTTTCGATTCATTAATAGTCTTCTGTGTTCCAAGGTTGCTTCAGCCAATAATCTGTCGGGGACAGTTCGACATAATATTGATAGCCTCTCGAGAGTAGCATGTGTTCATGGGATTGAATTTCCCATTGCACCAGTTTTAAGCCAAGGAATTGACATTAGTAATTATTCAAGGCTGTTCACGGGTTCCACAGCTGAGCTCGTCAGTTGGACGGGGACGTTGCCGGTAGTAGCAGCAAAAATCCCCGACCTGCAAATTGGAGAAGTTGGTATTACACCTCGCTGGAGCGAAATGGTCTCAGTGTTACCTCGTATGCCTGTTGAAAGCGGCATGAATTCCGTGAACTCTGTTATTTTGCCGCAGAGGAACAGTTTTCGACCGAAGAAAAAGCTAACCAGGCTCGTAAATGGACTCAAAGCCCAGGACATTACAAATCAATACTCTTTTCCACCGCAACTGTTCATAACCTCGAAAACGAACACAAAAAAGACGCGGTTCTCTGTTCCGCAGATTATAATTGACACAGTGGAGGATGAACGGCCTTGGGAGAACATGCAAGGGCCAAGGCGAAGACTACAGAGCTACACGAGACCAGGACTAAGCTGCAATACAAACTTTCTTCACCCTGCCTACACCATGTGTGCCGCGGTTTCTGCGAATGACCCCGGCGCTCTCAAAAATATAATTCTCTCGGGGACCGTGAATATTGATCACCTAACGTCGAGCGGCGCTTCTGCACTACACGAGGCTGCTTACGACGGGAAAGTTGCTTGTGTGCATGCTTTACTTCAATGCGGAGCTGACGTGAACATTGTAGACAGTGAGGGCTGGACGCCGCTTCACGCGGCAGTGTGTGGTAGAAACAGACAGTGCGCGGAGCTGCTTATTCGACGCGGCGCGAACGTCAGAGCGAAAACTGACGATGGACTTATGCCGCTGGGAATTGCGCTGCAGCAGAAAGACAGAGACATGATCAAACTATTAACCTCGCTTTCTAATCAGACGCAAACGACGAACAGGTCGAAATCTTGCTCCTACAAACAAGCGAAGGGACTTTTTTCGACCTTCAGTGTGTAATTAATGCGTGGGAGCAAGCAACACTTTCGCAAGGACCCAAATAAACCGCCAATAACGCATATATTTAAGGCTTCCAGGAGGCAGGCAGGTATTTAAAGAAGCTGACGAAAATTCCGTTTGACGTATGCGTGTTTCCTTCGTTTCACTTTGTCGCTTCCCCTTTCAGTTGTAAATGGCTAAAACAGTGTTTAATCTTTAGTATAAATAGAAGAGAACGTGTTTCTGTCTGTCACCTTCCATTGGAGTTTACACCTTTTTTTCAAAAACGTGTTGCGGAGAGTGACTTAAATCCGGTCGTTATATAATATGCCATAGGCGAGAAGCTAAACGAATATATAATGAAAATAGCCGGCTGGCCGGTCATAAATATTTTGATAGCCTTTCAGTTAAGGTATAGTGCCGTGTGAAAATTTCATTGTGTGAATCGAGATTAGCGAATAAAGAAAATTGAACAACAAAGGTTGGTGTGCGTAGTAGCTTTTGAAAAGACATCATACTACGTTTCTCGTTTTGCGTTATTTTTTTAGGTAGATGTAGACAAGCGATTGACGTACAACGGGAAGTATATGTTTAGTATTATTCTTGCCTACAAAAATATACTATGACCAGTATCTATATATAAATATATTTTTTGGCATACTCCATCTTTATGTTTAGATTTTCGATGGCACAAAACCAATTCCAAAGAGTGACAAATGCTGATGTAGCTTTGTTGGGATTCCTTTCAAAATCGAGCTGACATTTTGAAGTGTATTTCCACTGAAGCAGCCATTAAGAAAGTTACATTTCCGACATCACAAAATTATCTCGATATACCTATCTCTTCCTTATTATTTTATACGTGCTCTCCTGTTAAAACTGGAAGGATTGCGGTGACAAAGAGCAACGATTTCCATATCAGAGTAAAGCATCAATCAAGCCATTTTCAATCATTCGCATTTTGTATTCTTTTTAATTCAAATCTCCTTAATTGCTGATTGCCAAAGATTTTCTCTTGCTCGCGCAGAGAAAATGGTAGCACATCAGCGCCTTGAATATTTTTCAATTTGTTGGTTTGGCAAAGATTGATATTCAATGAAAAGACCACATTTCTTTCCTGAGTTTTAAGTATCCTTGTCAGGTCCTTATATTAAAAACAGCGAAAATTAAATGAAGTTAATGAAAACAAATTTATTTTCAAAATGTAAAAGCAGGTGTTCTAAAAAAATGTTACGTAAGGCCCCTTCCCCACACTACGCCGGAGGAATTTGAAAACAGAGCTTTATTTTTACGGTTAAGCCTACCGTCCACACTAGTCCATTATGAAAACGGAACTTTTCGAAAACGCTCTTCAAACCGGAGGAATTTGAAAACGCCGACTTTTCGTTTTCTTGTGGACGGAAAACATTTTGCCGGGAAAACGGAGCTATTCAAAAACGAAAGCGACTCGATAATCATGTGAATTTTCCTCAACCGCAAATCAAAAATGACCCGTGACTGTTGTTGTGTTTTAAAGATCCTCCGGCGAAGTGCCAGTGGACGGAAAACATTTGATGCGTTTTCCGCAGAGTGAAACCTCCGTTTTCAAATTTCTCCGGCGCAGCTGTGTGGACGGAGCCCGAACTTGAACAGAAATACTTCATGCCCGATGGGAAAGTGAAAAGGTTCACGATCTCGTGGGCTAAATTCGGCTACATATCGAGTTTACGAGTGGCCTTTAACCTTACAAGACGCCTTCTTGGCCAAAATATTGTTTGGACACGTTCTGTTTCAGTCATTAGATTCCTCCACAAAGTTTAAAATAGCATAGTGCGTGTTTAGAAATAACGAAACTGTGCCTGGTCAGCTAATTACCAGAAGATTATCGCAACTGATGATCGAGGCCTGACATTTTTAGAGTTTACTCAGTCTTCGCTGGAACGTGATCAAAAGAGCCAGGTGTTTTCGAAATGTTTGGCATAAAAACATGTTTTGAGCCTTTTAATACAGAAACTGATAATTAGTTGGTTTTTACCCCACTTCAACCTTTTTATGGCTGTCTTTCAAAACAAATGACTGTTCCAAGTACGGATCCGGTATAACGGCTGTCAGTGTGGCGTTAATTCAAGTTGGAAAATCCTACGACTTCTGTAATTGACAGATATTCCATTAAATAACGAAGGTTTCTCAGTGTTAGTGACAAATATGTTGTTAATTCAGTGGGATGTACAAGATTCAATTTTGTCCGTACGTGTGCACACGTACCGTGATTCAAGTGATTCGTGTTTCATAACTTCTGCTTATGCACACGTTCAAGTGACTACGTGTTTCATAACTTCTGCTCCTGTACGTAACGAGCCTAGGGGCGCAATTCTGTTTTCGAAAAGTTTCAGTTCTTTGAAAATAAACAGTGAAGCGTAGTTGCTGTGTGCGAATGACGCAGGCTTGCCGTGTGACAGACAAAGAGGAACACTTTCAAAAAGGGAACACTTGGAAATTAACCGTTCAAGTTTGTTTGAGCGGAACCAACCAGAATCGTTCATTCATTGCAACGCGGCATTCTAATTAAGTCAGGCTGGGAGCCTGACAATCTCCCAAGTGAACGATACCGTCAATTTCAGTAGTAACTGAAAGTCCCAAAAGAGCTTTGGTCAGCTGGCGCAAGAGAACAAACGGAACTTTGACCGTTGCCAGGGATTAATTAACTCTTTATTTTCTAGTTTGAGCCGGTAAACGGCGTAAACCACACAAGTGTTGTTTTGGTTAGGCTGTGACGTTAATACTAAAACATGTAAAACGACAAGGAACATTTGATTAGTGCTACCTTCCTTCCTCCAAGGATCCTTTCAATTTATTGCACCGATAACTCCTTTTGAACGCCTAAACAAACAAAACAACAATGCCTAACGAGGAACGACGGAACAACTCAGTACTCTTTGAGACATGCTTTGAGGAAATACACCCTCAGTTCTATCGACATCCGCTGTGTTTTATGATCGCTAATATTGTTTCAAGAAATAAACATTTGTTGGTTTGTTTACTCGTTTATATATTATTTATCTACTAAACATTTCATTCTGGCCAACCACGAAGTAATAGTTATTCAAGACAATCTTCATCGTGTGCAAATTGTTTCATCACGCAGCAAGTTAACGGCCGGCCAAGCTGGTGAAATCAACTGATTGTTAGGGTCCGTTCACACTACGTCCTTCTAATAAGACAAATACTTGAGTGAATCCCATGGCAAGTCGAGATGGAGCTTAGTGTTCCAGGTTGAAGCCTATAACTCCTTCATTTTTTTTTTACAACAGCCTTCCTGCACAGGCAATACTTTACCTTATACCTTAGCAACTGCACGTTTCTTGAGCTATTTATAACGCTCACAGTTGACCCGAGAGCAGGTCAACCATGATTACAAGTATAGCTTGAGGCGACGGTTTTCTGGAAGAGACAAACTTTGCGCAATCACATATTATACCAATTAAGATCCTACGCAATCATCTGATAATTATAACACATCCATGACATTTAATCATTCAATAATTGAAGACATGATTGATCACCGCAGTTACACAACTTAAGCAGTTGTGAAATTAACGCCTGAAAAAAATTCAGGCTTGAACGGGATTAGAACTCATGACCTCTGCGTTGCCGGTGGAGTGCTCTAAATTGAGCTATCAAGCCAACTGGGAAGTGGTCACGTTGTGAGTTCGTACCCCGTAGACGGTGAAGAATGCACGCGAATATTTGATCTTTCATATATTCACTTGTAATCATTTAATAAGATGGCTTTTTTGGCCTCCAAAAATCGTTTATTCAGTAAACCATGTGAACCGTAAATTTAAAATCAACCGTGGTAAAACACAGACGAATTAAAGATCAAGGGAGGGCTGGGTAGAAGAGCGAAAATGCAATCAACCTTATCACCGGAAAGGTTTGTTTCGAACGTGTTTCTACCATGTTTAATTAAGAGGGAGCCCTTCATTCTTATCACTTCTCTGTACAGGAATGCACTTTACTCAAGGGCTTTCAAAAAGGAATTTTACAATCGGTGAAAGGCAACTTTGATAGTTGAAGACGGCATAAAATTCTGCAAATTTTCTCAAGCGTTCGCACTGAAACCTTTGACGTTCCGTAATACATGAAGAATACTGTTTAAATTTGTCCGTGGAAAAGCAAGAATTTGAAAACGTGAGAAACTGTATTAAGTTTAGTAATGTCATTACATGGATGTTTTGCCATTCCGTTTACGAGTCTTTCTCTTAGGGCCTGTTTACAAGGAGGAAGGGTTACTTTAGCAGGCGGTTTAACCCTAGCTTGAGGGCAAAAGAAAGCCCGGATTTACAAGCAAAATTCACAGGTAGGGCAAAAGATCTGGAAACAATTAAAAAGTTAACCCGGGTAGGCCGGTTAACCCTACCTGGAGTGTTTACAAGGGAGAAAGTTAACCCGCCTGCCATGGTAACCCTGACACGCAGATAGGGTAACCCGCCGACCTGGGTAACCCTAGCTGTCTTGTAAACACTGACGACGAAGAAAAAAAGAGGAAATGTGTGAGTGTTAGGGTAACCCGCTTGCTAGGGTAACCCTCTCTCCTTGTAAACAGGCCAGGCCCTAAGTTCTTGCTATCTGGCTATAAACATATCGCAGATTTCGTCGCCGTCACTGAAAACCTTCTTGGCTGTAGGAATGTTTTTACAGCACGTTTCCCGGAGAGCCATTTTCAAATTCGAAAATATTTACTGTTAATATAAAACTTTAAGGTAAAAAGTTGTTAAAATTATGAGTCTAAACGTTTTCGATCTGTTTGATCATCATCAGAGTGAAATAATATGCATATGCTCAGTGTTCTTGTAGTTCAGGTAATGCCAGTTATGTGATACCTGTTCCCATGGGGAACAAGGTGAGGTCCAGTGATTGGACTTGTTTGTTTAGTTCTGGACGGAAGCGTGCGATGTAGAACGCTTCTTTTATTCTCCTTTTTAACCATGAATGGGCAGTGGTTAAAACTTCCCACGT